TAGGATGGAGAGGGGGATTATAATTAGTATAGGATAGAGAGGGGAATTATAATTAGTATAGGATGGAGAGGGGGATTATAATTAATATAGGATGGAGAGGGGGATTATAATTAGTATAGGATGGAGAGGGGGATTATAATTAGTATAGGATGGAGAGGGGGATTATAATTAATATAGGATAGAGAGGGGGATTATAATTAATATAGGATGGAGAGGGGGATTATAATTAATATAGGATAGAGAGGAGATTATAATTAATATAGGATGGAGAGGGGGATTATAATTAGTATAGGATGGAGAGGGGGATTATAATTAATATAGGATAGAGAGGAGATTATAATTAATATAGGATGGAGAGGGGGATTATAATTAATATAATATGGAGAGGGGGATTATAATTAGTATAGGATGGAGAGGGGGATTATAATTAATATAGGATGAAGAGAGGATTATGTTATTAACCTGTCCACGAGAGTAATAATCCTAATATTATATTGAAACACGGATTGAAGTATCTTAGAATCCTATTATATATTGTGTTTTACCATGTCTTTTATAATCCTATTATATATTGTGTTTTACCATGTCTTTTATAATCCTATTATATATTGTGTTTTACCATGTCTTTTATAATCCTATTATATATTGTGTTTTACCATGTCTTTTATAATTCTATTATATATCGTCACCATTAGTCTGAATGTTATTAAACTATTTGTCCCAAACACTATCGTCACCATTAGTCTGAATGTTATTAAACTATTTGTCCCAAACACTATCGTCACCATTAGTCTGAATGTTATCTGAATGTTATTAAACTATTTGTCCCAAACACTCCTAATGGTGACGAGAGTGTTTGGAACAAATAGTTTAATAACATTCAGACTAATGGTGACGATAGTGTTTGGAACAAATAATTTAATAACATTCAGACTAATGGTGACGAGTGTGTTTGGAACAAATATTTTTATAACATTCAGAATAATGATGACTAGAGTGTTTTCGACGAATATCTCAAGACAAAAACACATAAAAAATCTACTTAAACACTACAATAGAATCAACAGGAACCACATACCTAAAGATATAAGAACTGTGTTTATTAATAGCATCATCAAGTACTAATTTTAACACTGAAGTTATGCGGTCTTTGAGAGACATTTTAGCACTAAGGCTGCATGTAAATGTTAAAAACAGAAATAATTATACTGAGCAAAGACGAGTGTTGTGCCCATTTTAACCCTTTCTCGATCACACATTCGATTGGTTTATTGTTTATTTGTGTGTGTTTTTTTAAGAATAGCCCTAAACTCACATATCATTGGACTGAGTGTGAAAAGTAAGGTAAACAAGAGGTTAATTACTTTCCTGATTTGTTGTTTTTATCACGCCACCTAACGGTGGATTTTCTCACACTTAGCAGAAACATCTGATCATAGTTACTCAGCAACACTGTTTCAGAAATGTCACATGCGCAATAGAGTATGTTGTCTTGTCATCAGTTTCAACTTCTAGTTTACTGTGTAGCTATGTCAGCCATAATGGATTCTGCGTGAGGCTTAGAAAGTCACGACCATAACCTAAATAATGAACTGTGTTGTCATTGTAGCATGTTTGAATAAAAGAAGGCGTGGTGATAAGTCACGTGGTTTGCTATACTTAATATACGTACTATTTTATTAGGAGCTCATGGCTAGAATGAAACTTACTTCTGGGTTTAACATTATGTTGAGAGTAAGCCCTCGTGTGGCTTCTTGTATTGACGTACTTGCCCCTAGGGTTTTACGTTGCACTGGTTACGACTTTGTATAATAACACATCCTAAATACAAGAATGATATGGCGTCGAGGATATCTAGTTCTTGGAAAAATCATAACAAGTATTAGTGCAAGGTTTGAGAGGCCATCTTCAGGTTTGTCCGCAAACTTACATACTACTTTTATCCTGTGTATGTGATGTTTTGGTCCATAATGTACACAAGGATTGAATATTCTATACGTGCCTCGACTATAAAAAAAGCCGGCCTGGTAGATTCACCAATAGAAACCAGGTACAAAAATAAACTTTTACGAGCTTGTCTCAAGAGCAGGTTTTCTTTTATGAACGAACAATTAATCTCGGTAAAATGTTGGGTAGCTTTATGAGTACGATGAAAAACTCAGTTAATTAGTATGTCGTCTTCATAAGATAATTACATGAATAATGAAGCATTATTATGTAGATATACATACTGATTTGTTCTGTATAGATTTATAACTTTTGTATATTTATTTATATATTAATATCTTCTGTACAGACTTATATACTGATCTGGCGTTGTATCAAGTGTTAGCTACTGTTGTATCAAATATTAACTGTTGTTGTATCAAATATTAACTGTTGTTCTATCAAGTGTTAACTGTTGTCGTATCAAGTGTTAGCTACTGTTGTATCAAGTGTTAGCTACTGTTGTATCAAATGTTAGCTACTGTTATATCAAGTGTTAGCTATTGTTGTTGTGTCAAGTGTTAACTGTTGTTATATCAAGTGTTAACTGTTGTCGTATCAAGTGTTAGCTACTGTTGTATCAAGTGTTAACTGTTGTCGTATCAAGTGTTAGCTACTGTTGCATCAAGTTTTAACTGTTGTTGTATCAAGTGTTAACCCAGCGTTCAATCAATACTCGTTACAATAACAAAAAAAGAACGCCATTACATGTTTCTAAGTTATATTTTAGAACAAAAATTCACGTTCTTTTACGGACGGAATTTTGATAAATATTTTTATTTTTGATCATCAAGAAAGGAAATTAGCAGGATAATCTGTTTCAGATTATTAAGGGCAGAAATCGGCATGATACTCTGTTTCTATCTCTGATTAATAAGGAATGCAGTTGTCAGAATAGTCAGATTATTAACAGTCAGGACAGTCTAGATCTGTCTCTGAGTATTTCGGACGGAAGGTGACAGGAGGTGTGTTTCTGATTATTACTGATTAAAGTTAGAATAGTCTAGGTCTGCTTCTGCTTATAAAACTGAAACTTGAATGCAGGAAGGACTTAATTAAGTCTTGTTTCTAGAAATCTCCCGGCCTATTACATGAACGATGTCACAGATCAGGATTATATCTGTAGCCTAGAAAAGGATAACGGAATGCACAAATGTCAAGATTTTCCCCACTTCTCTTATCGGGGGACCGTCTGTAATTCCACCGCTCACCCCAATAGCGACAACTCCCCCAGCAACAGCTCGTGCGTCAACTGGAACCAGTATTATCGAAATTGCCGAGCAGGCGAAAAGAATCCATTCCAGGGTGCAATATCTTTCGACAACATAGGCTTAGCTTGGGTAGCTATATTTTTGGTAAGTAATTTTAATTTTAGTTAGTGTTGGTGTTTTATATACAATATTCAGTGTCAGTTATACATAGCATTTGTGTGATTGATTATTCACGATTAGGTCAGTAGGATATTCAGTGTGGCTTAATATTTTACACGTAAAATATATGAATAATAAAAGATATAACTGATCGTTTACTTACAGCTTGTTCTGCTACAAGAATATTACACTCTTGCATAAACAAAAAGACTGAAATATAGAGACGTTCTTGATTATGATTTTGTCAAAAAACGAAATAATTTTAGTAAACTTTTCTCCAAAGCAACTTCAGTAAGCCAACCCCAGCTGTAAAGGGGAGTGTGTTCTAAGCCTTTTATTTCCCAACTATGTATTTACAAGAAATAAGTTTATGATAAAAAACTAGCTTTAAACAATAATACATAATGGCAAATCTTTAGTTTTAAACGTTCATAATTACGTAAAACTAATGTTCTTGAGGTAGATATTGGTTTGTTGACTGTTATAATGAGTGGAACCATTAGTAGTTTTCGTACGTGAGTCAGCGTAATCAAGTTTTTCATGATATAACTTCTTCGTATTCTCCAGGTAATTAGTTTGGAAGGATGGACAGACATTATGTATTACGTACAGGATGCTCATTCGTTTTGGGACTGGATTTATTACGTTCTTCTCATAGTGGTGAGTCGTAATTTAATTAATTCCAAGTTATCTAAAATATGAAAACCATCTTGTTGTATTACTAGACTAAGAGACATGCAAGGTTTATTTCTTTATTGTTTAACATAAAGCTATAGACACAACGGGCTGTCTGTGCTGTGCCCACCACGGGTATCAAAACCTAGTTTATAGCTTTATAGGCTTTCAGACTGAGCTACTGGGGAAGGGGGGGGACTATGATTATTTCAGAGTTATGTTTTTTATTTTATTTTCTAATTTCGATCCTTTGCTAGTCGCGTTGAATAAATATATTTTATAGTGGCTCAGCTTGAGGGCTTATAACGGTAAAAATGTGAAGCTCGATCCCTTCGGTGGACACAACACATATAGCCCATTGTGTAGTTTGGGAATCAAATAATTAAGTACTTATTATTTTTCTCCACATATTCCTCGGTTCTAACAATTTAAATAATAGACTCAGTAGTATCCACAACAGAAGTGAATTTCGTGACTCCAACTGTCATACCAAAGAACGATTTAATGGAAAGCTTGCTGTTCGTTTTCCCAAATGATAACTACCAAGTAATCTTCATGCAGATACACTGATCACATACTTGGATAATGGGATTCATCAGGAAATCTGGTAGCGAGAAAGAACCGTTCAATACGCTACGTCAAAGCTGAGAAATTACGTGTTTCGTGTTAAAATTAATGAATAGCTCCTGTAAATAAACATATTTCCACAATAAGTGTTCGTCAGCGTACATGATAACCTTTGTACACTTTATTTTAAAACCAGGAACTCTCTCAACAAGAGCGTCCGACATAAAGGTTGTTGATGAATTCATCTGTTACTGTCTAAAGATGTTGATGAATTCAACTGTTACTGTCTGAAGATGTTGATGAATTCAACTGTTACTGTCTGAAGATGTTGATGAATTCAACTGTTACTGTCTTAAGATGTTGATGACTTAAACTGTTACTGTCTGAAGATGTTGATGAATTCAACTGTTACTGTCTGAAGATGTTGATGACTTAAAATGTTACTGTCTGAAGATGATAAAAACATTGACATTGAAAACCACATACCAAGTATTCTTTTAATGATAGGTGATCATTAATATGTATTTAAACCACATACCAAGTATTATTTTAATGATAGGTGATCATTAATATGTATTAAACCACATACCAAGTATTATTTTAATGATAGGTGATCATTAATATGTATTAAACCACATACCAAGTATTATTTTAATGATAGGTGATCATTAATATGTATTAAACCACATACCAAGTATTCTTTTAATGGTCAGGTGATTAATACTGAATACATATGTGTATGAGTAGAGATTCTTATGCATGTCACGTGACAACTCAACGTTTCGCTTGTTGAACACAATCCCAAAGTTCCATTTGCTGATGTAGGACATTGGTAAGTTTACGAACTTACAACGCTAAAATTCCGGGTTCGGTTACCCGTGGTGGACATAGACAATAGCCCAGTGTGGATTTGCTCTAAAACAACTGAACCCTTTGCTGACTACACATAAACTGCTGTTGTTGTTTTTTTTTCGTTTCTCTGAGATTCAACATAATAGAATAAAATTATAAAGTCAGTTAGTGAAATATTTTCTGTTTATTAAAATCTGTATGTATAGAAATATCACGAGTCTATATGTGTTCCAGCTTCACAAGAGTTTTGTGTAAAAGTTAAGTCTATGTAATAAATTTACTTTTTAGATATTTGGATTCCAGTCAGAATGTTTGTTTCAGGCTAGTAACTGATCTCATGTCACTGGTTTCTTTCAGATAGGATCATTTTTCATGATCAATCTTTGTTTGGTTGTGATTGCTACCCAGTTTTCTGAGACCAAGAAGCGTGAGCTGGAACGAATGAGACAAGAGCGAGCCAGGTACCATTCCAACAGCACCCTGACAAGTGTGTCGGAACCCCTCGGGTGTTATACAGAAATGATAAGGTACCTAGCTCACTTGGGAAGACGAGCAAGACGGAGATTTGTATATTGGTACCGACGGATGCGCCGGAAACGTAGGAGGGAGGAATTTCCACGCTCGATGTGTTTAGGGAATAAACGGAGGTATCCGACCCCGAGTTCTTTAACACAGCAATACTCTCGTGAACATGTCTCAGTAATCCTTGACTCGCATGCTCACGTTCCGGAAAACTCTTCAAGTAGCAGTCCTTTTACCCCGTGTACAACCCCCCCTACGTCCCCACGTCCCCCAGTGTTGCTCAAGGTGCCGAGTGTTTCTAGTCGGGAGAGTTTTTCCTACAGTTCAGATAAAACCAAAGGTAAGAATGGAGTTTCTTGACTTTTACCAATAGAGGGTGCTGTGTGTTTCCAGATTAAACATGGTTGTTTGTACGCTCAGGGTAGTAGTTGATCTTAGTACAAAACCATAACCCAGGTAGTAGCTGATCTTAGTACAAAACCCTAACCTGGGTAGTAGCTGATCTTAGTACAAAACCCTGACCCAGGTAGTAGCTGATCTTAGTACAAAACCCTGACCCAGTTAGTAGCTGATCTTAGTATAAAACCCTAACCCGGCTAGTGGCTGATCTTAGTAAAAAAACCTGACCCGGGTTTGTAGCTTATCTTAGTACAAAACCCTGACCCAGGTAGTAGCTGATCTTAGTACAAAACCCTGACCCAGGTAGTAGCTGATCTTAGTACAGAACCCTGACCCAGGTAGTAGCTGATCTTAGTACGAAACCCTGACCCAGGTAGTAGCTGATCTTAGAACAAAACCTGACCCGGGTAGTAGCTGATCTTAGTATAAAACTTTGTTACTTTGTTACTTCTAACTATTCTCTGTAGTAACAATCATCATCAGTTAGTGACGTCATATTTCAACATAGTTACTTCTAACTATTCTCTGTAGTAACGATCATCATCAGTTACTGACGTCACATTTCAACATTGTTACTTGTAAATATTCTCTGTAGTAACGATCATCATCAGTTAGTGACGTCATATTTCAACATTGTGACTTCTAACTATTCTCTGTAGTAACAATCATCATCAGTTAGTGACGTCATATTTCAACATTGTGACTTCTAACTATTCCCTATACTAACGATCATCATCAGTTACTGACGTCATATTTCAACATTGTGACGTCTAACTATTCCCTGTACTAACGATCATCATCAGTTACTGACGTCATATTTCAACATTGTGACTTCTAACTATTCCCTGTACTAACGATTATCATCAGTTACTGACGTCATATTTCAACATTGGTACTTCTAACTATTCCCTGTACTAACGATCATCATCAGTTATTGACGTCACATTTCAACATTGTGACTTCTAACTATTCCCTGTACTAACGATCATCATCAGTTACTGACGTCACATTTGAAACTTGTATTTTTTCTCTAGGGGACCCGGCCTCACCTCTGAAGCAGTCTTCCCCGAAGAAGGTGTCTGTTCATCTCAGTTACCTGCCCTCTAGCGTCAGTGCAGACAGCCGGCTGACCTGTGCGGAACTGCTGGCTCTGAACAGCGCTCAAGGCGCTGTTTTGGCTGCTAGTAGCTTTGCCATGCAGTGTTTGTACTCATCGTTACACAAAGGTCAAACAAGAGTTGTTATTTAGTTACAAAAATATCTTGTACGTCATCAAATATAGAAACTGAACATTCGTTTTTGCTGTACCATCCGTGTTAAACAGTAACATGTAATCATATATTTGATGAGTTGCTATTGTTCTCTAGACATTGTTGGAGAAGATTCTATAAAGTTCTGGTTTTCATTGTTCTCTAGACTTAGAATATTATATAAAGTTCTGGTTTCCATTGTTCTCTAGACTTAGAATATTATATAAAGTTATGGTTTCTATTGTTCTCTAGACGTTGAATATTATATAAAGTTCTGGTTTCTATTGTTCTCTAGACGTTGAATATTATATAAAGTTCTGGTTTCCATTGTTCTCTAGACGTTAAATATTATATAAAGTTCTGGTTTCCATTGTTCTCTAGACGTTAAATATTATATAAAGTTCTGGTTTCTATTGTTCTCTAGACGTTGAATATTATATAAAGTTCTGGTTTCTATTGTTCTCTAGACTCTGAATATTATATAAAGTTCTGGTTTCTATTGTTCTCTAGACTCTGAATATTATATAAAGTTCTGGTTTCTATTGTTCTCTAGACGTTGAGGATTCTATAAACTTCTGGTTTCTATTGTTCTCTAAACGTTGAGGATTCTATAAACTTCTGGTTTCCATTGTCTGCGGACGTGCAACTGCCGTTTATTCAATTTAGTTTCATCAAGATTGTAGATATTAGATGTTATGGGCACCCACATCGTGCTCTCTCTGTGTTTATATTACAAAGTACTGTTTAACTTGAAATTAGGTTTAAGGATCTCTGTGAAGTTACATATTAAGGTTTTATAATGTACTGGTTAACTTGAAATTGGGTTTAGGGATCCCCGTGAAGTTATGGATTACGGATTTATATTGTACTGTTTAACTTGAAATTGGGTTTAGGGATCCCCGTGAAGTTATAGATTAAGGATTTATAGTGTACTTTTTATAATAAAGTTGGGTTTAGGGATCTCCGTGAAGTTACAGATTAAGGATTTATAGTTTAAGTAGCTATGTTAGTACCATGGTTTCTATAGTAGTGCTAACGCTAGTGCCGTTTTTTATATACATTTTCGATGATCGAAAGTAACACTCGTGAGTTTATTTGAAACACACGTGGCGGTTGTCACGTGGTGAGTAGCATCTTTCAAAACATTATGTGTACACCAGCAGGGATCAAGCACTATTCAGACCCAGTGCTGCTATACTTCTCGGAAGATCAGGAAAGCACTCCTAACGAAGCTGACTGGAGCGATACGGAGTCGGATAATGATGGCAAGCCGCCAGACGAACGTCAAGGTAGGCGGAAGTCCTGGTTGTGGTGGAAGCCTCACCAAGCTAAGCTGAGGTCTCTGGTCAACCATAAATACTTTCAACGTGGAATATTGACGGCAATATTGTTCAACAGCATCAGTATGGGGATCGAATATCACGACCAGGTAGGGGTTGAAAAAGAAACCAATCACAGCTGTTCGTGTTATAGTAGTTCACAACTGAACCTATCAAACTTTAACTGTTGATATTGTAACAATTTAAAGAACCAATAATAGTTAATCTATTTTTATTATTTAAGATTGCAGAGAACCAATCACAGCTAAGCTATTGACGTACAATTAAACACATAACAATTAATCTATAAACATTATAATGACGTAGGTGACTAATGGATAGGATCTTTTCCTTCACAAGTATGTAATGAACCATGAACTTTATGTGTGTGTATTTGTGCTAAAAATATGATTTTTCTTCCTAGCCAGAAGAACTGACCCATGCTGTAGAGGTCAGTAATGTCGTTTTCACGTGTATATTTGGTGTGGAAATGATCCTTAAAATAATGGCAGAAGGACTCTTTGGATACATAAGTAATGGCTTCAACATGTTTGATGGAATCATCGTTATCATAAGGTGTGTTCTACTTATAGTGAGCTGTCTGCTGTGTCCATAGTGAGTGTCTGCTGTGTCCATAGTGAGCTGTCTGCTGTGTCCATAGTGAGCTGTCTGTGAGCTGTCTGCTGTGTCCATAGTGAGGTGTCTGTTGTGTCCATAGTGAGCTGTCTGCTGTGTCCATAGTGATCTATCTGCTGTGTCCATAGTGAGCTGTCTGCTGTGTCCATAGTGAGTTGTCTGCTGTGTCCACTGCGGGAAATCAAACTCTGGATTTTAGCGTTGTGAGTCCCTAGACTTATCGTTGTCTTATCTCAGTTTCAACGATTGTGGCAGATTTAGTAATGAGAACTATAGACATCAAAACCTTTAGTATCACTCACATACATAAACAAAATGAATCACTTTAAGTAGAACACACCTTATGATGTATATGTACGAATAACGTTAAGTAGAACACACCTTATGATGTATATGTATGAATCACGTTAAGTAGAACACACCTTATGATGTATATGTGTGAATCACGTTGGAAACAGCAGACAGCTCACTATGGAAACAGCAGACAGCTGGAACTGCTGTACCACAGAATTGTTGGTAATACTATACGTTGTATTGAAACTGCTGTACCACGGAATTGTT